CAGCTTGTTAAAGAGCAGTCTTTCTTTTTTTCACCAATACATGCCGAAGAAACGAGAGAGATCCAGAATACAAACTGAGAAAGTACTCCATCCCACAGAGCCACTTTGCGATGACAGAAAGCATAGTGAAGTACAGCTTTGCTCCAGCAAGTCCTCCCCTAACACTACCAGCGCTAGAACCCTGAACGGTGGAACCCCCCATTTGAAAGCAGATTGACAACAGTAACCGGGGACTAAATATGAGATGTAGTGATGGGTAAAGCAGCTTGAGAAACTGCAAAGTGTGAAGAGCTCCACAGCTAGCGGAAGTTTAAGAGGAAAAATAGACCATAACTTCAAGGAATAGACTTTTTTTCCATGCCTGCCATAACCAAAAGTTTAACCCTTTGAAGAAAGATATTTCAGGAAAAAGGAGACAAAACAATCAAATTGGTAGACTTTTAGCTTATCGCTTTCTACTGTGTTTAATATATTTTTGACCGAATTTAAATGCTCAAGATAATGCTGTGAAGAAAATTCCAGGTCATGTGTAGTTCAGTGGAACCGTACCCGCCTCTGGCAGGTATTCGCTGTTACAATCTGACAGTGAAAAACAAACGACTCCTCCACAGATTCAGTCTGGCCACTTAACCATTCTGCTTTTTGAATGGACGTGTACCCAGAAGATCTACCGCAAATCCAGCGCTCCAGACTATGGCAAACCAGCTGCTGAGTCAGAACAGCAATTTGATAGCTAAATCCTTGATACTGTAAGAAAGAAAAAAAATTACTATCTGGCTCTGTAATTTTTAGACCGGACAAAACCACAACTGTTTGGCTTTGAGAAATTGAGAGTGCAACACCCGCAAGGTGTTTTAAAATATTTCTTTAAATGCTTTGAAAATTCAGACGCACTCGGGTGACCTTTTTTCTTGCTATGGTTAAACATATACTCAAATAGAAGCAAAATTTAACCAACATTTAATCTGTTTTAACTCTTTGAAACTGTTCTTCTTCACATTTCCCAGTTCTGAAGTTTGTCACGTAGTAGTAAGACCTCTTCCACATGTTTCTTTCAATCTAATTTGTACAGCTGGCAATACAAAATGCATAATTACTGTCCTGTACTGAATATAAACAAACTCCACAGCACATTGTAAGAAGTCACACAAATACACTGAAAAATTTAGGAGCCACCAGCTTGCACAAGGGTATCTTAACATTACTGTCTAGATGATGAGTGTTCAACCACCAAGACATGGCTGTTGACTTCAGGTTGGATTCTTTAAAGCAAAATGTTTGATTTGTATTTAGAGACAGATTTCCACTGGCCTATGCCCATGTCTGCTCACGCATCTATTCTCTACTAAAATTAAAAAAACCCCAACCAACCAACAAACAAAACAACCCACACTCCAAACCAAAAACTGTTAAAAACCACAAAACTCTAAGCATTTCCAAATCTCACATTAAAAAGATGCCGTTCCTCTCATGCGTTACTGCAGCACTGTTAAACCAAAAGCCTACTTTTCTGTTTTCCCTTAAACTGATGGTAGGATTAAAAGATGAATTTAAGTGGCTCTAACTGGGAAGTGCAGGAAGAAGCGTCCCTGTCATCGTGTCTCTGGGACTGGAAAACTTGCTCTCAGAACATGACAAGACCGAGGTGTCTTAGCACTGGAATAAGAGTTTGAACTCACTGGCTACAAAGGCTTAACACACATAAACCTGAACATTGGCGCTAGTGAGGAAGAGGAGTATGGACCAGTTATTATTATCTTTGGAGAATATTACAGACAAATAACGTGATTTTTAAAACTACAGGAAATCCCTGCTCTCATTTGCTGGAAAGTATGGTTATCTGCAGAAATTAAACTTGCTCTATAATTGGTAGAGAACAATTAAAAGAGCCTATTGCTTTAGAAACGCAAGTAATGTAAAATACCATTTTTTTTAAGTTATTTTAAATATTAAGCATACTTTGTGTGCATTTATGCATTAGAAATAACATGTTTTACCTAATCATTGTACTTACTTTTACACAGCTGGATTGTGTAAATTTGTCTTTGCCACACTTCGAGTAATTTTAAACATCAGAATTTTCAAAATTCATCTGAGTTTGTATGTTATTAGAGAAACTGGACAAAGCTAAAAAAAATAAATCAGAGGGGCACAAATAAACTGAAAGAAGTAAATAGAAGAAATGAAAAATACCACACACATAAACCCACAGCGTCTAATTGTGGCATCCTAAGTAAGCACTCAGATGATCCCTCTTGAGTACAGAACAAGAGTCCTCTCTAGCCTGAAGGACTCGAATCTCACCGTTCCCGGAGCACTTGTTATACGTACAACGTATGTTTTGTTAAACAGAAACAAGCACAGGAAGCTAATTTGTTCTGTAAACAATCAGGCCCCAAGAGAGAAGCTGCCTATTGAAACACTGAGAAGATACTTTAGCTTTCTCATCCTTCTGAATAAACACACCCATGCCACTTGAATAGTTCAACCACTCCAGCCGCCATACTGCCGTGCTGTATCCCGCAAGTGTAACTGTAGGAGATGATACAAGAAGTGCCGAAGTTGTCAATAACATGTGCAGACTGAAAATGTTTCTCCTTTATGCTCACTGCATCTTTTGGGATGCACCCTAACAGCCCCAGCTTAGGACTCTATCAAATCTAGTTGCAAGGTTTCTCATGAAAAGCCCCCTTAGAAGAAAGGTGTGAAGTAATTTAATGTGGAAAAAAAAAACCAAACTTAAAACCCAGGAAAACCCAAACCCTTCCTCCAAACCCACCTCTCCCCATGCCCCCCAAAAGACCCCACATCAATGTGTAAAGACATGGGTAGCAGCACACTGCACAGCAGCTTTGGAAGTGCTGAAAAAATATAGGCCAACCTACTGCAGAGTTCATGCCACGAGCAAGCCTGGGCTCAGCGTAAGATCTTATTGCACCTTGGCGGAGCCAGTGATTGTGCCCCATTCCTTATGAGCTTGAAAGAGCAAAGTGAAATTGAGCACAAAAAAAATCGCACTGAAACTGTCCTGAGTAGCTGACAGACTCCCTGTTCTCCAAACGGTAAGGTTCATTTGGCTCCTGCTCTTCTTGAAATCACAACAGAAATAAGGCATCGCAAGTCATAGAATCATAGAATGTTTTGGGTTGGAAGGGACCTTTAGAGGCTCAACCCCCCTGCAGTGAGCAGGGACACCTTTAACCAGATCAGGTTGCTCAGAGCCCCATCCAACCTGGCCTTGAATGTTTCCAGGGTTGGGGCCTCCACTACCTCCTGGGCAACCCGTTCCAGTGTTTCACCACCCTCATTGTAAAGAATTTCTTCCTTATATCCAGACTAAACCTACCCTCCTCTAGTTTAAAACCATTACCCTATCCTGTCACAGCTGGCCCTGCTAAAAACATTGTCCCCATCTTTCCTATAGGCCCCCTTTAAGTACTGAAAGGCCGCAATCAGGTCTCCCCGCAGCCTTCTCTTCTCCAGGCTGAACAAGCCCAACTCTCTGAGCCTGTCCTCATAGGAGAGGTGCTCCAGCCCTCGGATCATTTTTGCAGCCCTCCTCTGGACCCATTCCAACAGTTCCATGTCCTTGTTGTGCTGAGGGCACAAGTCCTCAGAGCCTGGGCATCATCATCGTCATCAACACCACCATCTGTGAGCCCAAATAAATTTGCTTCTTTGTAGCAGACAGAAGGAGGAAGAAAGCACCATGTGGACGAATGCACCTGAGTGTGTGCTACCCGAGGGAAATACCAGAAAGCACTTCTCAGCTCCCAGGCTGACTTTTGCACTCCCTTTGCATCGCCACAGCATCGGTACTTGCTACGAAGGACGAAGGGCAACCGAACAGTTTGGTAAGGGGTTCATGTTCTGCTAGCAACTGGAAGAACACATCTGAATTCTCTGCGACCTACCAGTATTCTGGATTTACCGGCTTCCTGAAGACAGGGCAGCGCAGCCTCCCTGCAACGTTCTGTTCCAGGAGGGCAAGAAGCCACCACCCGAGTGAAAGCAGAAAGACTGCTTTCCCAGCCTGGCTTTCCCCTGAGACCTGCAAAGGCATCAGCTTCTGTAAAACACCTCAGGAGAGAGAGATGAGGACACACACTGTCATAGCTATATACAACCTGGGGAATTGGGTCCCATACAGAGACTTCACTAAATAAAAGAATTGGGGGAAAAAAACCAGAAATTTGCACAACACTCTGTAATAGGGAGTTTAACTGCATCATTTTTTAGGGGAGGCAGAATAATTTTGGGGTGGAGGATGTCCCTCTACTGGCAACAGGTTACCAGTTCCAGCTCTACCCACACACTCCAGCACTACGAGAGATCTATAAACCTTTATACGGAACAACCTCAGGCAGTCACTGCGTAATTCCATTTCTAACAACTGTGTGAGATACGAGAGGGGGCAGGGGAGCGCTGTAGCCAAAGGGATGGTGCAGTTCAAGGCAATATAAGGCGTCCTCCTGAGCAGCTGTATGGCACGCGGGTACAACTCCGTGTTAATAAAGGAAAGAGGGGAAAAGAGAGATTTGTGAAGGAGCTGTAGGTCTAATAGCCAAAGTGAAGAGACTCAAAACTTCTACAGAAACAGACAGGCATTGTTAATGGGAAGTGTACCTAAAAATTCTTTACACAAAAGCATATTAGATTTTCAGTTAAAGAACTAGATAAAATTGGCAACGCTCATTAGTTAAATTTGAATACAGACTGATTCAATTCGATCTGGCATTACAAGAGATAATGGAAGCACTAATGTTCAATCTACATAAAAATTGCTTCTGGCCAAACTTTCTTTTGTTTCCTTTAAAATACATCTAACATCAAAGAGAACAGCTAAATCTGATGACACAGCAGGACTTTTATTTTTTTATTACAGTAAACTGCCTTAACTTTCTTAAGTATTTTAAATTCCAGAAGTTGCTGTCCTTGGTTGGCCCCTATTTTAACAATTTTTCCTTTAAATTTTGCCATCCTTTTTCTGCAAATCATATCTATTCTTTGGCTCTTCAGGCTTTCTCATTGCTGTTTCCTCTTCGTCCACCTCAGCTACAAAGACCTACAGCCAACGTTTGCACAGGAATTCAACCACCCGGACTCTGTTAACACCACCTTCTACGAAGCCCAGCTTCCTCAGTTCCAGCAACAAGTATAATGCTGCTGTGTTGTCATCATTCTTGCAGAATAATTCAAGAACGCACGATTTATCTCACACTTCTTCAAGCTTCTGTGCTATTTGCTTCCCACTCGCTTCAAAATGGAAATAATCTATGCACTCCGCTCGTTCACAGGTCATGTTCTTCATTAAACCATGATCAGGTTTTCCCACCATCAGAGTTTCATTTGCATAATCACAAAAGACAACTTTCTGCCCTGGTTCCTCATGTGAAACATTTATCCTGTATCTTTTTACCTAGTTGGGTCCCTAAGTTCAGTGCAGCACGGCCCTGTGCAATAAGGACAGCGCAGCCTGTGCAATCAAGGGACACAGGCCGAGAGAGGCTTCCAGCTCCTTGCACCTTCAGCTACCTAGGGAGGGTACTGCTGAGGTCTGTACAAATTAGACAGCAGGCACAACTCTGCCCTGAACACCGCAGGACATGTTCCAAGACTTCAGTTTCCCTTTGTTCACTTTTTCCTCCATCCTCGTATTTAGTACTGTTGCTTGCCGGTCAAAGTATTTTTGATGTAGTTTGTAAAGCAGCATTATGTCTACACTGAAAGTAAAACCACAATAAAAGAGGCAGCACTTCCCCCTCCCCCCATAAAAAAAAACACATTCAAGAATTCGAATTAATTTATGACTTTGGCCAATAGTGCCTGGATTATCTTTATTGACTGCTGTAGATACTTAGAATACAAAACATTGCATTTTCTCTATTGAATTTCTTCTCTTTACATGTCTGCCAGCAGTACTTTGGTTATACTAACCCGTATTCAACAGCACCTTAGAAATGGTGGAATTTCAAGTTAAAAAAGGGGAAAACTGGTGATTGTCAAAAACAGGAAAATATGAAGAATGTATATTAATTCTTCCAAAACGCACACAAAAAATTCTAAAAGTGAGAATTTCATTATTCAGTATCAGTTGAGACACTTGCTAATGTACTTTTTACAATCAAGTACTTAGATGAAGTGTTCTCCTGTGAACTACAAAAATATGAAAACCATGATATTAATGCTTGTGCAGTTGCTCGTAGCAGTTGAAAGGCAATTTACTAGAACAAGACTTACGAGGTACCTAAGAAAAATTGTTATCTAATTATTCACAAAAGATATGTCAAGTATAATTAGTACAAAATGTCAAAATTTCAACCTTATATTGAATCTATAAATATATTGTAAAAAACACAAAAAACCAAAAACCAAACAGAAAATCACATATTACCAGGCAAGAGATCCCTGTGCATAGAACCCCATGTAAACAAAGCTGATGACAACAAAATGTCTCCATTGTATAAACTGAATGTTAATTCCAAAAAGAAAAGTAACTAAAATTCCTACCTTCTATATTTTTCAATATATAGCTTTTAAACTATTTCAATTCTCAGTTTAGCTGGTTAGCTCTATTCATCCTTTGACTAGAAGTGTGGCACAACCTCTTCCACTTCAATTGCAATATCCTTGCAGATCTTGCCTTGAGGAAACAAGACTCGGGGTGTTCCCCTTAATAAGAACAGCTCATATGTGTAACATGCGCTTTATCTCCACCAAGTTAGAAGCATGAAGGTTCTTACCACAAGCAGGAAGCACTGCTGCTGTAAACTGAACAGCTACTTGATTTGTTTTGAACGTCAAGCACCAAGAGAGCTAGTTTCATTTTTCATGTCCCTGATTCTTTTCATTCTGTAGTAAATGAAAATCCTTGCATCACAGTAAAAAAAAAATTTCTGCACCTTACACAGTTGTGTTCGTGGCTAGAGAGCATTTAGCCATCAGCCTCAGCACAAAATACAATTTCAAAGTATTATATCCGTATTATTTCTTCATTGCTATTAATATTAATGTAAACTAATTTGAATAAATCTTAATATAATTTCCTTATAAAATTTGAAGTAACATACTTAAGATGCAAATCAAGACTTAAGGATTCTAATAATGCTTATTAAAAACAAGATTAAATGCAAGTTCATGTGAAAAAACATGCATAAAATTACATAAATATACATGAAAACATCATGAATACAACAATGAAATATAATTCACAGCTTAATGAATGTTGGACAAACATTTAGCAGAATTTTGTTACCAACTCAAAAAAAATGAATTATCTTGCAGTCTTCAGCACATTAATCACAACTTCTGTAATACATAAAGAATACCAAGATTATCAACGGTCACACATACTTTGAAATTAGGGGACACATGCATTGACTTGAGGTTTGTTCCGTTTGTGTAGAAGGTTTGTAAGGATTCTCCAGTAGTGACATTCCACCACTATAAAAAAATAACAACACGCTTGCAGTTAGCTGAAGGAAGCTTAGAATAAATTCTATAAACAGGCTTAGCACAGCAAGCCCGGCTGACTGCTTTCCCCAAAGAGGTAAAATTAAAAATAGAAATACAAGCAATCTTAAGTAGAAAATGCTTAGGACCAGTTACTAGAGACTTTCAGATGAAAAGAAACTTCAAAAAGACAGAACCTTTTCAATTTCAGGGAAGCACACAAAATAAATTCAGGTTCTGCCCCTTGCCTCATCACAAAATGTGGTCAATAGATGTAAACTGTAACATGACCAAAATTTAAAAGATTATGTAGTTTTATACAACTAAATGAATACATGAAATGCATTGCCAGACAATGTAATTGAAACTAGGGCTGGATTCAAAAACTTAGCTGGACTCAAAAGGGGAACAATCATGTACACAGTTGAAACCATTTCTAGTTTTGGACAGACTTTTTTTCAGTGAGATTTGAAATATTTTTATATTTTTTTAGAATATACAGTAAGCACTAATAACAAAGATACAGAGAAACCTTTGACCAGCAGTTTACTCCATGACTGTAGACTGAAATTCTACATTTCTCAGAAAAACTGTAGACCAAGGTAAAATGGAACCAAATGCAACCCAGAACAAAGCTGCTACTTGATTGTTCCAATAAGAAGTCTACCCTCTACTCTTGCAACGTTTGAGTGCAGCAGCAAAATATCAAAACAGATTTACCTTCAGCTTTGATCATCTCTAAAAGCAGGTGGTATTACTACCTTTTAGCTTACTCACCTCATGAAATATGTAACATTATAGTTGTGTGCATAATACAGATTTGCAACTACACAGCTATAATGTTCTGATTAAAACCACCCTTCCTAAAGTGTCTGTTATTTGATGGAGACCCAGGGGGAAAAAAAAAAAAATCTTAATTAGCTCTTGAACCTCTGTTGGTGGATAAATGATCAGGTGCTGGGCCAGTGGGTACCACTCACACAACAAGTTCAACAGCGCATAGCTGGATGCACCTCACCTATGAATAAAATAACTTTAAACAAATGAGTTATCTTCCATGTAACTTTACAATCCAACTCAGTTCAGTTTTCAGAGGTCCAAACTTCTGAAGTGTTCTAGACTTTCACTGACTAGTATCTCCCTACAAAAAGCGTGCGTGTGTGTGTGTTTTCATGCACATCATTACACATCCATCTGTAGATCTTGAAAGAAAGTAGAAATACAATACTTAGAGAAGACATGGTGACTGAATCTGGTCCCCATGACTGGAAAAAGGCAAATGCCATACCCATTTTCACAAAAGGCAAAGATGATGCTGGAAACTACAGGCCAGTAATGTTCACTCCAGTGTCTGGGGTTATTAAGGAACAAGTTTTCTGGAAGCCATTTCAAGTCATGTGAAGGGCAAGAAGGTAGGTGATCATGAACAGCGAGCACAGATTTACCAAAGGTAAATTATGCTGAACCACCCAATTGACTTCTATTGACAATAATGGTGGCTCTGCAAACAGCATAGCAAAAGCAGTGGATGCGATTAACCTTGACTTCAGCCAAGCCTTCAACATGGTCTCCCATAGTGCCTTTAAAGTCAAACTGGAGAGGTAAAGAGTGGATGGGTGGAATACAAGGTAGGTGACAAACTGGGTGGACTGCTAGATTCAAAAAGTATTAGACAGCAGTTCAGTCACTGTGTGTTGAGCCCCACCCTAGCACAAGAAAGACACTGACAAACTGGAGCGAGTCCAGCACACGGTCATTGAGATGGCTGAACACCTAGAACAGATGTCATAGAAGAGAGGCAGAGCACTGAATGTATTTAGCCTGACAAGAAGGCGGCTAACTGCTGCCTTCAACTACCAAAAAGAAGGTTACAGATGACACTCAGACTGTCCTCTCAGGGCCCAGAGGCGCCCCTATTGGAGTGGGGGACAAAACTTGATGGGGCAAGGCCCTAAGCAACTTTACCTAACTCTGCAAACTACTGCTAGCAAGGGGCTGGACCAGATGAGTTCCAGAAATACCTTAACATCCTAAACCATTATCATAGAATCATAGAATGTTTTGGGTTGAAAGGGACCCGTAGAGGTCATCTAGTCCAACCCCCCTGCAGTGAGCAGGGACACCTTTAACCAGATCAGATTGCTCAGAGCCCCATCCAACCTGGCCTTGAATGTTTCCAGGGATGGGGCCTCCACTACCTCTCTGGGCAACCTGTTCCAGTGTTTCACCACCCTCATTGTAAAGAATTTCTTCCTTGTATCTAGTCTAAACCTACCCTGGTTTAGTTTAAAACCATTACCCCTTGTCCTGTCACAGCTGGCCCTACTAAAAAGATTTTCCCTATCTTTCCTATAGGCCCCCTTTAGGTACTGAAAGGCCCCTTCTTGTGCTGAGGGCTCCAGAGCTGGACGCAGTACTCTAGGTGAGGTCTCACCAGAGCAGAGTAGAGGGGCAGGAATCACCTCCTCAACCTGCTGGCCACGCTTCTCCTGATGCAGCCCAGAGTACGGCTGGCCTTCTGGGCTGCCAGCGCACATTGCCGGCTTCTATGACACTAAGAAGCATCACAACCCCATACTGTGTAACCACAAAACAAAATGGGAAGGAAGCTAGATCAGGATACGTGTCTTGTTCTTTAATAGGAAATGAACATCAGAAGATGTTTTCAATGCTAAATTAGAAAATTCAATGGTCTTTGTGAAGTGGTTAGTCACTGACTCCAAAGAATTAGTCTGGTAGCTTGTCCAACAGCTAAACACTGACCAACAATCAACTAAGCTCCAGCACTCAGAGATGAGAACTCCACAGCCTGTCATTTCACACAGACCCACAGTTTCTACTAACAGGTATTAGCTATTGCGTAAGGGAAAAAAAAAAAACCCAAACTCGTAAGAAATTTACAGTTATGAAGAACCAATTCGCAGACTGAAAGCAAGACCACCTCTTCCCCTTCCCAAAAAACATATACACAGTCGATGTCTGAAACAATGAAAGACGACTGATGAAAAGACTGACTTTCTCAATTTCAACATGCCCTCTTCCACAGATTACTTATAAATGCCTTTCAAGGCAGAAAATTATCATTTGCAATTCCTTCTGAATTTCTATTTATGAAAAAATTTAAAACTCAGTATCTTTAAAAAAAAATGAAATCCTGACATAGAACATTTTTCTGCTCATTATAAAGAACACAATTGCTGCTGAAATCAAGTGGCTATTAAGGCACACAAAAATTACTGGGATCTTTAATATTAAATACGCTAATGAAGGACGTTGCTAATAAAAATCTGAAGCTAATAAAAATGGAATATATGGAGTTCGAAGACAAACTCCAAGTCTGAAGTCTGAATTCTTAACAGACCTTTTCAAGGGGCTTTCAGATTTGAGAAGAAAAGAAGTGAAAAGTGCTAGACAGTCACGAAAACTGAGCAGCTCTGTGTTATGTAAAACATTTCAGGTTTGTTTCTTTGAATTAGTCTGCATTTTCCTTTGGAATTATCAGAGTATTGTCATTTAATTAGGTATGTTAGGATATTTTATTACTTCAAGGCTTACCTTAAGATAACCTCCAGATGACACAAGCATTTTACTATCAGGAGAAAATGAGAGGTCTGTTACCCAACCACCATGTGTTGGTTCTCCTTCGTCTGCAGTAATTGGGGAGCAGAAATGAAGTAATGCACCTGTTATGATGTCCCAAATCTAAAAGAGAGAGAAGATTATGTATATAAGTAAACTTAATGGGGAAAAAAAATCTCCAGTAAGGAAAGCTGAAATTTATTTTTCTGTATTAGAGAAAAAAACCTTGTAAATAAGCATTCTACCTGAAGTGACAGAATAATCCAAAACATGAATTCTCCTCTTAGAACTGTATCATATATGGAGGATTTAATCACACATGCAATTCACAGTAGAATTAGTAGTACATCATGTGAATCAGTTCCTCAGCATTCATGGAGCATAAATCTATCAATGTGGTTACAAACTACTGTCTCACGTGGCAAACTTTGCTGTTTTCAACTCCCTGATGTTCACCATAATGCTAACAAATTAGACATACAGAACATAAACTATGAGAACTCTTCTGTCTGTGAACTATCAATTGAATTATAAAATTAAGAGCAAGGTTAAAGCAGTACCCTTATTTCTCCTTTGTCATCTCCAGTGGCCAATAATTTGTTATTAGGAGAGAAAGTACAGCACCGCACACAGGCTTCATGACCTTTCAGCTCATGAAGAACAGATGAACTTTCGAAGCTCCATATCTAAATGAAAAAAAATTACAGAAGAGTGAAAAACACAAGTTCTAACCCAATTATGACTCCTTTCTAAAAAGGCATTAGTATTCAAAAGTACATAAGACCTTTTGTATGTATGTGTATGTGTATTTATGTATTATACTGTAGTTTGTTTTGTCCTTTTATTATCTGAACCACACAGGAATGCATTTGCTACAAATTACTGAACCAACTGCAAGTATATTTTTTTCATTGGTATACACTCTTCAACGAAATTGATCCATTTACAAGAAAATTTAAAGCTGTTCATAGAAACTGTTCAGCTGTTCAGAGCTGTACTTTAAAAATCTAATGGGATGCTCTAAAAATCTAAAGGGACAGCCCCAGAATATTAAACAGTTCACTTCTTTTTGCACCTTGCTTCTGAACAGGAATACCAAAAACTATGAACACTTTCACTGGAAGTTCCAGAAATTTTTCTTAACTTTGGTTTCCAAATTAAGTGTTAGGCTATCAACAAATCAACAGAGAGAACTAAACAGTGTTCTGCACAAACCTTGTGCATTAAACATGCATTTTATTTGTACAAAAGTCACCAGGACAGCCTCAAGTTATACCCAAGATCAATTGTGAACGACTGTAACAGGTTTAGAAACATGTTAACAGATACAGGAAGTTTAATACTAGAAATACAACAGGATAACTTAAATAGTCACTAGTTACCTCATAATAAAGATATATAGCATAGATTTCAGGACAAACAAGGCATCATTTTTATCTTTGCACAGAAAGTAACCAACCTTTGCAGTTTTGTCAGCAGAAGTAGATGAAAATTTAGTACCATCAGGTGAAACAGCGCAAGAAAGAACAGCACCTCCATGGCAAAGAAAATCTTTTTCTGTATTTCCAGTAGTGATATTCCAAACCTATCAAACATACAGGAAAAACAGGTTACTTTTATAACACTGGAAAAAGGTTAAAACACCTGCATCCTGCACAACAATATATACGAGATAAAACCCAGCTACATGGTTTTAATACGGCTAACATTTTCCTATACTTACTGGTATAGTTAAAATACAACAAAAGTGTAAATCTTGCTAGAAATAGATAATGCAAAATTGTGTCTTAAGAGTCAGCCTACACTTTAGGATCAATTAAATAAAATGTATGTTAACACAAAGTGAAAAAAATACCAAATGTCAGAAGAGACAGTAAAAGGTATTTTATGCAATTTGTCAATTCACAGCCTTTTATTTACCTTAACAGTTCCATCAAATGACCAAGAAAGAAGTTTTGAATTTTCCAGAAGTCTAAAATCCTTGATTGCTTCCTTGTGCCCTCTTAGAAACAGACATTCACTCAACTGCCAATTCCATACCTAATAATAAAGATGGAATACTTTTAAAAAAAAAAAATTAATGGCAAACGTAAGTTAAGAACGAACTAACTGATTGATTTTTAAGTCACAGGAATAATAAAAAGTTCTTAAGGAAGTGGCAACTAATTAAAAGGTTAGATATTGAAGATATCCAAAGTAGAGATGCTGAAGATTGAGGATGACATAGTATTTAATAGTCAACCTATGAGAGAGTTCTCTATAATACACACATAATCTGATTTTCAAAGTGAATTTGATACTTCAAATTCACTAGTAATTTAAAAAGGGAAAGCAAAACAATAATTTTCTAGGTACCCCAGAAGTTCTGGGCTTTAAACCTTTGATTATTGCAACAAATAGACTTCTGCCATCTGGCAGACCTCATATTTTCCTTACTTTAATTGTCTTTTGTATTTTTAATTAAATACCATTTTGGTTTGCATTTTATAAAAAAAAAAAAAAAAAAAAAAAAAAGAAAAAAAGACATCTCTATTTTTAATTCAACTATTCACTGAAAACAAAAGAAATGTCATTTTATTTTATGGAAGCTATTAAGCATCAATTTCAGTGACAACGATTTAATAGTTTTCAACTTAATAGGCTTTCTGCATCAGAGAAAGAAAAGAAAGCAGAGGTGTTCGGATGAAAATCCTGGAAGCTTAGCTGAGGCACTGTCCACTAGAGGGAGCTGAGGACCCAGAAGAAAAACTACCCACGCTAGACCTGCACAAGGGATCCAAAAGCCGATGAACAGGTGAGCAGCCTGTACTGCTTAACTGGCCACGGTGATGCGTGACAACTGATTTATTGCACACCAGGCCACAAATCCACTTTTCGGACAACAGTGATGGCACTCAGGCTAGCTTCAGAGCCGCGGGTTCAATGCAGAGTTAGAGCGACACAAACACTGAAGTGGGATGTAGCATAGGTTACGTGTGTATCAGCAAAGAAGTAGTACACTGAAGTTGGAACAGATTTGGTGAGCAAAACAGTGCTGAGGACCAGCACCCACGTGCTTTGGAGGTTTTACTTCAAACCAGCTCAAGTTTGGTTGTGTGGACTGAATGCTTATTAGCAGCTGGAGCATGTGCTCTATTTCAGGAATCCCATCAGCATGCCTGCAACTGCTCTGCAGTGCAAACGAAAGCACAGTGAGCGTAAATGACCAGGACATTCACTTCAAAAGTGCATCCCTGAGGTGAGCTAAAATGCTAACATAGACATAGCAGAATACTTCGCTGGAGCCAATCTACCTTGCTGAGAGGCAGACCTTATTAATTTGAGACTACATTAGTGCAGCCATTCTATTTCTAGCTAGTATCTGTATTCAGCACTGTACTGGATTAGGTGGACACAGCAGCCTGCTCAGAGACAGGTCTTTTTACCTCATTCCTTCAGACAGTGTAAGCAAGCCCACTGGCAGACCTACCATATATAGCCAGTTCTGGGTTGTATCCCAAACCCTTCACTTATGCAATCAGAACTCTCGAGTTATCTTGTTTGAAAAATAATGTTCTTTTCACCCATCTTAAAAGAGTTGGTGCCTCTCTATCATCCACAGCATTAAAAATAGAAATTGTGTAATGTTGATTATCACATAAGGTATAAACAGAGGTTACATTTTCTACAGTCCCTTGGCCCAAGATGGAGCAATACAGAATACGGTATTCATTTATTGAGTTCACATTATCTATAGTATAAAAGACCTTTTTAAATAATTTGTAAGTAAGTTACAACATAATCTTTTTAAATATCTTCCAAACCTGTATAACTGAATCATGAGCACTTGAAATGAGAGTCTGACAATCAGAGGTAAATCGACAATGCTGCACGGATGTCCTGTAGGCTTCCCAGGACTTCAGAACTTTCCCATCCAACAACTGTAATACCTTTACAACGAAGAATGCAATAATTATATACTTGAGGAAAAGGAAGAAAAGAACATGCAAATTCTTTTTTAAGTAACACAAGATTGTAAATGCATGACGTGCAGTCAATGGATTGGAACAACCAAAAATGTGTATTAGCTTAGTCCTTGGTAAAATAAAATTCAGAGCTACATTTAAATTATTGTCATTTAGGAATCACTCACAAATGTAAAAACTTTAACATACTGTATTGAAGAATACTATTGTACAAAGTCATCCAAATGACATTTATTTTAAAAAGAAAAAGCACGAAGAAGGGCGTTTTCCTACTATTTTTAAAATAAAATTTAGGATTTAATACCTTTATTGTTCCATTCTCCAGTCCAAACGCTGCAAATTTAAGATCTTCACTTAGGCAACAGCAGGAAATGGGGGATTCTTGAGCTGCTGTCTGAATAATAACACTGTCTGTATTTCCATTGATAAGCTGCAAGATAGGAAGTTAATTAAGTTACTATAATATGTTAAAATTTAAAGTTAAATAAGTTACAATATAGAGCTAAGAATGCTAAAGAGAACAGTGTGCCAGTTTCAAACTTTGAATTATAAGGATCAGTTACTTCCATAAATCAATTGCTTTGAAGGTCGGTATAACTATCTTCATAGAATGCTCTCTGAACAGGCCAAGTTTGCAGAAGGAAACATATCTCAAAAGGCTTTATAAAGTTTGTCTGACTACAGAAAACAGTAACTCAGAATGCTACTCCCAAATTTCAGAAGTCATACAAGCGAGCTCCATACTCAAATTTACCTTGCAAGACAGATTCTACAGCTCATGCCAAATGGAGCATAAAATAGTTTAAGTGCATCCTGTAAGCATGACTTTAAACTTATTAGCACACACAATACACCAAATCTCAACTCAGTATGGCCCTCAAATCAATTCCCCAGGGGGGGGAAAAAATATCTTTACAATACAATGATTTACAAACAAAGTTTAAGTTTAGAAAGTTACCAGTGTGAAGTGTTTAAAAATGAACATACTACACATCAAAAGGTGACTAGGATCCCAATTCTGAGACATTAAAAATTACAAAGGGTAGAACATCACAGTTGCAAGAAAAACTACTTTTAGAGATGCGATAGCAGAGATATACTGTAAAATTACAGTCCACATGCTTAACTGTCTTTTCAGTCAATTTCTCTTCTTGCGCAAGGGTGAAAAATCTCTTTTCTTTCTACAATGGAGTCTTCTCCCATGAGTGCACCTCTACAGGATGTCAGAATATTGTCTTTAGGGCAGAAAATCTAAGCACCATCTTTCTCCAGGAAATGGTTCAAGTAAAGTTACAATAGACACATACTAATCATAAATAAATAGATGAGGTCTACTACTTCAAATGAGAGCCACACTACACCATTACATAGTAGTCAGATTTACAATTCAGGAAAATTAAAAAGTAGCAATTATCCTAAAACTGCTCCCCATACATAAATAGGTGTAACTCCATTTGCTGTGGTTTCTCCCATCTCTTCACTGCAGCAGATGCAGCTTCTCTTTTCTCACGTATTATTTGTTCACATAAATTTTAGTTTCAACACTGACTGCTTTCTGTTGGCTGAAAGTCTGAAATCTTTTTATTGCCAAGGCTCCACTGGAGACACTTCAGCTACTTCCACATCTATATTCCCCACTATTCAAATATCATCAGCATTCCACTTAAAGTTTTTTTTAATACGATTCCTAGGTAGAATAAGAACAAGCTAATTTGTTGACAGGACATACAAAAGAAGGAGGACAGAAAATAATCAGGGAGAAACAGGAAGTACGGGACAAAGAAGAAAAGTTTCTGCAAAGGAAGCTCTCATTCTAGTAGCAGCCTAGGAAGAGCTGAGCATCTCTTAGGACTGGAAATACAGGCACTGGTCATGCGGATTAGCCAGGATTACATAGTTTACATCTTTGCCTTTGACCAAATTAGGAGAAAGGACATGACCCTACACAAAATTATTATCTGCACAGTGTCCCTCAGCGCAGGGCAGCAGAATCTATTCCACCACCCACCTAGTATACATCCAGCCATAAGAATTCGTTGCTTTCACAGTCCAGAACAAAGGTTCATTCCTATTCAGATGCTGCTTTAGGCTAAACACCTGAAATAGCTACCTCCTTGCCAAAGGTATGGCATTGTCCATTTTGTGGGTTAACACACAAACAGTTTGTGTAAGCAGCATTCTGCAACAAATATGGACATGTTTGTGCTTTTAAACAGTTACAATCAGTAGAAGCATAATCTGAATGAACTGTACTGCTTTCACTTCGAAGAAAATCCTATCAATTGACTTTATTTAATGTATTAGAGAATCATGATAAAAAAAAGGTATGTGCCTGCATTTGCTATCATGGAATGAAAAAATGCATTTTGGGTGTTGGTATACTTACTACTTGGTGGAGGGGTCCACAGTTATAAGAGCATATCCGCTATTAATATTTTCTTTAGGGCATGAAAGACCTCATGCTCTCGTAAGGCTATAGGCAGACCTGGGCTCATACCTTTCATTCCCTCAATTTGAGATGATTCCTTCAGCTGTTACACAGTAGTTCTGATACATTACATACATGTACTGTGTAATACCTGGTCTATACATGCTGCACACATTGCACATTGCTGTGCACTGCTGAGCCACTTGGAGGGTCCACAGTCTCCCCAGTCATGAAGAGAAAACAGTTTTGTTCCTTTGCATCCAGCTTCAGTTTCAGTATCAATGTGGAAATTTCCCCTCAAACTTCCTTTTTGCTTACTAAACTAGGCAGAGTTTCTAGATACAAAAATGTTATCGTACATTAAGAGTTATCTGCGACAGATTCAACTGTTGAAAGCCATGAACAAGCAGTTCTTTCGATGCTTCCTCCATTTCCTACTGAGATTTGCAGACAACATTCAAATGTGCTAACATATTGAGAAATACAGCTTACTTGTAAATGCTTCTGATTGTAAATTGCTAAAATCATCACTTCACCATTGTGAAATACAACATCTAGTTCACTTTTTAGCACAGCATCAGAAGACTTGCACACCTTCTTCGTCTCCCAAATCTGTTAAAGAACACAGTATTTCATTAGTTTTATTAAGAGTACCTGTAAACCGAAGTCTTATAAACTTGCAAGTAACACTGATTTTTTTAAACCAGTGAAAGGTATGCTCCTGCTATTTTTATTTACTAAGGAACGTTGTGCAATTACTATAGGGATTCCAACAGATGAAACAGAACTAATTTTTTCCAGGCTGAGTAGCAGGCTTCCCCATGTTTAGAGTCACACAAATTTTTCATCCAAAGAAGAGCGTTAAAATCCAATCACAAAAATACCAAGTACAGATTTCTATACTTCAGCTGCTTTCAAAATTCCAAGAATATAAGCATTAACTTGGGAGAAAAGGAAAGGTTACTTTGGTAAACTATAGTTCTACTTTCACAGGCTTTAGTGAGGCATTACAATTACAGAAATCTATCCTAAATATTAACATGCAAATATATCTAACAATGAAAGTAGTATCAAGTCTGCTAGGATCCTCAGAAAACTTCACAGTTCCTCATTCAAATAAAATCTAAAACAAAATAGGAAGTTACAATTACCCTTGAACAGCCACTGGACTTATAAAATCATATAGATATACAGTAAATTTAGAAATACAGTAAATAAATTGAAAAAGCCAGCTCATTTTACTGTTTATCTAAACAACTTTATAATTTTATAGTAAATATTTACATTTATCTTGGCTATAAAGATACATAAATACAAATATATACCATATATAATATAAGCATTATATATTATGTAATTTTATAGTAAACAATTTCTTAAATTAATAACTTAGTACTATATTCACATTTTTCCAAAAAGAAAGAGGTAATCTTACACGTATTGTCTGGTCATCAGATGATGTCAGAAATAAAGATCCATCTGGTGAAAACGTCACACAGTGAACCCAGCTCATGTGTCCCCTGCAATATGCTACTTTTGATAAAGATTTAATATTCCATAACTACAATAAAAATATGAAAGAAGAGCTCAAATGGATTTAGATTGTATTTACATGGAAAACAGTGCAAAACAAGTAGAATACTTTATTGTTTCTTCTAGAATTTTCTTACTTTTCATTCTGAAATCAGAGGTAAGAAGAATTGTGCCTGCTTATCACATTTTGATGGTCAGGGAAATTGAATCAGCAGCCTCTTTGACTGCTATAATTGTAAAAGGTGAGGGTAAAAAAAAAAAAAGAAAAAAATCACTCACGGAATAAAGAAAAAAAAATTACAAGTTCAACTGACCACGTAGATTGCAAAAACAAACAAACAAACAAAACCCAAACAACAAAAAAACCCAACCCCCAAACTAGATACTTGTCCAGGCTTACACTAGCTGTGCTAGTCCCAAAGTCATTCTAGCTGTTTCATGTCTTCGTAGTGAGTTGCCACATCATGTAGCAGCATACAGAAGAATAGTCTAAGTTAAGCAATGGGAAGGCCTATACTCCTGAATGACAACAGGTACTTTAAAGAAATTTAGTAGCCTAGTCTTTTTATAGAAACACAAGTTGTGTTGTCCAAAATGAACGTGTAACTTTAAAACTTTGTTTTGTAATTGATATTTTACATTTCAGAAGTGAATGAAGATTAAAAAGAATGAAACATTGAAAGCATGCAAAAATTTGTTTTACCTCTGCATACAAGAAACTATTAAAACAAACTTAACATTATATATTACAAATAGTTTTTCCTGGTATACTGTAGCAAAGGCAATCACTTACCTCAACAGAACAGTGAGACAAAGCAAGTGCTACTAACTCATCACCAGGACAAAAGTCACAGTATTGGATTGTACTGTGATGACTTATGACGAGTTGTGCTAACAAATCACATGTTTTAACATCAAAAAGCTGTGAACATATAATTACAATAGTTAGCACCCAGTTTGTATGACTTCACTATAGACAAACAGCTTATACACTCAACAGCACACGTTCTTGAATTTAGAAGGTATTTCTCCCAGTCAACACGTTTATCGCCCACAGATTTTTACTTTACGCACACTTGAAACCATGCACCTTATGTCTGAAACATCTTAATGGCCTAGAACTTTACTATATTTTTACTTTATTTTACTATATTTTACTATATTTATACTTTATTTTTAATCATAATTTCTAACTAGATAATCTTTAAGGTGCCTTCCAACCCAAACCATTCTATGATTTTATACTAGCTCAAGAGAATTATTAAAGTGAGGTACTTACCAAAAGCTTATTTTTGGCTACCACCAAAATCATGTCACCATTTCCGGACCAAGAGCAACATTTTACTAAAACCTCCACATCATCTGGTTTCTCATCTGCATTTCTGAAAAAATCTTTTATCTCAATACTTTTCAGTTCATTTCCTGAGCGCGATTCCCAAAGCTGCAATAAAAAGTAAAGGAAATGGACAAACCCTCTCTTTACTGATGTGGATACAGAATACAACAGGGGAGAGCTAACTCCCAATCACTTCTAGGGAAGGAGGCAGGGGGTAGAATACAAAAAAAGCCTTTGCTACTTTCCCTGATCAAGAAATAGCATTAGAATATTTACAAGCCCAGACAGCTTAGATCAGAAGAAAAGAAAACAACACAACACAAGGAAAAAAAAAATCAAAACCATAAGAAAGGATTACACTGTAGCCGAACCCTTTCCCTGAGTTTTTCCCTCATATCATTCCAGCTACAATACTGTCTCTTAACAAAAGAATAAAAACAAAAATAGTAACTGCTCTGCAACTCTATTAAAAGCCCACTCACCATGAGAAATCTGGTATACATCTAACTTTGCACCCTAATTTCATTGAGGCACCTGCCAAAAACCTACTGAATATTTCTGTTCCATCCACAATTTTCCTTCTGAATGACAGCAGCTACAGCAACCCTTCTTTCCTGATTTAGCAACTCTGGAGAAAGGTAACGGTGTTTTAAGAACTGCAAGTGTGAAATAGCATAGCTCTGTTGCAACCAAAGGCAATAAAAAGAATTCTTACATTCTGAGAAAAAACAAAACATAGACTTCTCAATTATCTTCTAGTGCATACGTGAAAAATCGCACACAGAAATTGCTTTTAACTTTTATGTTTACTGATATTCATTTTCAGACATGACAGAACTTTCAATTAATCTAAAATTTTTAATTTTTTTTTTTAAACAAGTTTCACTCCTTCCCCCAAGCTTTCTTAAAGTACATTAGGGGAAAAAAAAAAAGAAAGAAAAACAAGTGGAGAAAAGGAAAGGATTAAAAATTATGCTAGCTAGGATATATTAACAACTACAGGCACACAATTTTTTTTCCCTGGTACTGGATGAGCCATTTCAAAATCTTGCATTACAAATGGGACCAATTATCAACTGTTTCAGGACTTAATTCACTAAAGCTGACAATGCAGACACAAAGTTTTCATATACATATTTTGCATTTTATACAAAAAAGAAATCCATCATCAAAACAAACAGTTGATTTAAAAATACACTCCGTACCTTTACTCTTCCATCTGTTGAGCAGCTAGCAACATATTTATCATCCGGTGAAAATCTACAGTGATTGACAGAATTTTCATGACCAATCATCGTATTTCTACAACAACTTTTGTTCAACTCCCAAAGCTGCATGAGAAATAAACATATAAATATCAAAGACAAGACAAATTCTCAAAATCATGCACTGCAACCAAAACCTTGATTTTTCTTTTTTATTAGTTGTACCCACATGCTCATGCACCTGATGCTATGCCCCATGCTACCCCACAATTTACCTCCACCTGCTAATGTGCATGAAAACTATTAACATCGGAGTTACATAGAACTAGTTAAACTTTCTGTACAGTGCAGACAAGGCCCTTGAACAGCACCAAGTTACTGAAGGTTTCCTCAGACTGAAGAAGCTTCCTCTTGCCTCCTTCCCTTTCAACTTTGAAGTTCAGAATTATGTAGCTTACACATAAAAACAAAAATGAAATCTCTCAAGTCTTGGACAGTCTGAATACCATCCTTGCCACAGCAACACTAACAAAGTCAAAACAACATTCCATATGGGTTTTTTTTTTTGTTTAGGGCTCCTCACACATATGCTTTTCCAAGCCTATAGCCCAACTTCCTTTCTTCATTTCCAATTTTCCTCCCTTTCTCCTATATATAAAAAAAAAATAATCATGCATTTGACTGTTCAAATGAGAGCTCAAAACAAGAACATTCACGTGTACAGTGTTCTCTGAAGAAATATCAGGCCCTTTTGATTATTGTGCATACTTCAGTTCTGTTACTCATTACGCATGAAAGCGTAAAACACTGTCTAAAATCTTAACCATATTTACAGTATAAAAATTGTAATTTTTAAACAAGTTCCTTCTAAATCTATCTGTTCCAAGATGTCAGTCTCAGACAGCAAACGCACCTCCTGAGACATCCAGGAGGTCAGCATGAAAGCCTCTTCTTTCCATCTTAACATGAGATCATAATTGTATTTTACCTCCAGTTAACACAAACACAAGCTCTTGCAAGAACTCTTCAGGTGAGACTTCACATTACAATTAAAACACCTCAAAACCTGCTAGCTACAGCTGGAAGAGATAGTTGTCACCCCACTAACAAACTCACTCCTTGCTGTCTATTCCCAACAGTTCTCTTGCACTGGAACAGGGCAATTGAGCCACTACAGGGAACTAAACGAGCAGAAAACCAATCCCCCCAGAGGGTTTTGCAGAGTTGGCTCCTTGAACCATGCTATTGCAGAGTAAGATCAGCACATGCACTGCAACAAAGGCAAGAGCATACAGCCAGGGCAGTAGGACTGTCATCTTCAGTGCCAGTTAACGATACAAATTGCTTAGTTGTACTGTGAAACTGCACGCTTATTTGCCACAGTCTAGGTCTTAACTGATTCTTTTGTTTTCCCCCTTCCCTCAGATGCAGGCTTCAGTTGCCTGGTTTCTGCTCTTTCTGTGTATACATACTGCCTCCCAATCTGAACAGTGCCAGCTCGTTAACCTGACAAACCTCTTGCTTTGATTACTGTTATTTTGTTGGCTTCCGCCTTCATTTCTTCACTATGCCCAATCAATTTAATCAAAAAATGTACCTGCTACACTTTCATAATCTTTTTTTTTTTTCAATCTTTCAGCATCCAGTTTTTTACAGTGTTAATGTTTGCAATCCTAAATTTCTGCCTTCATTTTTCTTACGCTGTTTTTGATCAGGTATTTCACTCCCATACTCTCCCATTCCCATGCCACCCTCTAAAAGTCTTGCCAAAGCCCTCACCTTCAGGCCCTATCAATAGAGGACTTGCCCATTCTCCTTCGCTGAGCATAAACACTACTCCTGTTCTGCCTTGTTGAAATCCTATTACAAAGCTGTAGTCAGTACTCTTAATCTGTTGCCATCTCTCTCCTACCATGCTCATTAAAAAACCTTTAATTTATAGTGTTTAAATATATTTATACATCAATAATTATCCAGTTACGATAAGCAGCACAAGAATAATCTCAACCTTTTCCACTTACTTTGATGAACGTGTCATTTGAGCAGGTGGCTAAAAGATACTGACCACTTCTGTTATTGAACTGGCAGCAATTGACCTGCTCTGAGTGTTCTTCATATACAGACATACACTGGCCTGTTCTTGAATTCCAGATCTAGACAGAATTGAAGGATAAAAAGACTTTTAAATATATTTAAAGTACTTAATTTAAAAAAAAAAAAATCTGTAAATTATATTGAAATAAAGATAAAGCCCTAAAACATTCTTAGTAACACCTCAAAAACGTTTTGAAGATAAAGGGAAAGCATATATATTTGCAATTAGAAACGGGAAGTTACGAGGTGAAAGATCATAATTCAGACTAGAATCTCATAAATACTGGATTTTCACCAAAGTTTTGCTACAATACTGAGGAATTAAAAATTCCAAATAATGCACATGTAACAGAAAAAAAAAACCAGGAAAAAATAATTATGGATACTTTTGTCTCATGTTATGGATAGGATTGGACTCACACTTATGTTCTTCTTAAAAAGAATCATCTGGTAATACAAGTGAAATAAGTGGTAATTCTGTAAGTTTAATGCTAACATTAAGCATCTTTTACATTATGTAACAAGCAGGGGTTTTCTGTTTGTCTGTCTGTTAAGTAGTAAATTATCCACGTAAGATTTAAGACAGTTAAAAACCAACTTTTTCTTAAAAATCTGCTCTGCCTGAGTTGGTTAAAACTGAAATTTGAATTACTAATCTGAAAAAAAAGTTGCCTGCTCTCCATTTCCTTACCTTTACTTTTTTATCAGCTGAACAAGTTGCTACAAATTCACCATCTGCAGAGAAAGCGCAACAAAGTATTTCATCATCATGGGCACTTATCTCCAGGAGTCTCTCTCCACTTTCTGCTTTAAACACCTACAACAATAAACAATGAAATCTTATAACTTGCATAAGATTTTAACACACAAATATGTTTGTTTTCTCTCAAACAGCTCTCTCTGTATAAGCTCTTCATAAAAATGGTTTACTTCTGAAAGCATTTATAATTTCAGGGAAATTAACATAATAATTATAAAAATATTTAATTTGAGCTTCAATTTTGTAAGCATAATAGAAATTGTTAGGGAGAGAAATAGTGAAGACTGATTTTTTTCAAAAGATTTCTGTATGCAATATGTGTTTCATTAATGACTTTTTCTACCCTCACTCTTTAAGCCTAAATCGGTGTCCTTTCTCAGTATTTTTTAATAGTAACTGCAAAACATTGTACCTATTAACAAAATCAAAACTATTCTTTCAAATACAAATTCCAGGGCTTTTTGTGTATATAATATACTTTTTATATATATGGTATCCTTCTCTGGAAAGTAAGAATTTCAGCAGCAATTGATTATTTGGGAACAAACAAGAAAAAAGAAGTAGTGAAAAGTTGTACAGGATGACACAAGTCTCAGTCTTGAGCTGATCATAGGCAATAAAAGGACAGTTGGGGAAGTGGCACATATTAATCAATTTCCCAAAATTCTGGGATTTAACTTTAGAATGGGGGGGTGGGAAATCAGGTCTCCCTTTCCTCCTTAGGTTACTTATTCTTAATTATTAAAACAAATCACAAGGTGTTCTTTACAGCAGCATTCAGGCCACTACAATTGTGAAGTCCCTGTTTTTTTCTTAACTTTTTCACTGAATGGGAATATCAATGACAATGAAATGGTTGGTATTTGTTCAAATAAGAGCATAAATACTGAAGTAACAGGAAATCTACATTTACAGTAAATTCTGCAGAATATCTGTTCTTAATCTAGCAATCATTTTTTTTATTTTACAGAAACAGTAGAAGTAGCCTTGAAAACTGAAAAGCTTAGGCCACAATTTGAAAATACACGAGTAAGTTCCAAGTTAAACAATGAAAAAAGGATTATTGCTAATTTTCCTATTACTTCTTCAAGAAAAGTTTAGTTTAAATGCATTCACAATCCACACGTTTTACTTTTTTGGGTAGAAAATGAAGAGAAAAATAAGCAATCTGCAGTCTTAATAATGAGGCCATTAAGTACAGAAGCCCAGCACAGCAACTTCAGCACAGCATAAAATGAGTGCGTCCACCAGGCATCTCCTTAAGTGGATGCCGTGATCATAACGGTGTAGAAGCCAGCAAATAAAATAAATAAAAACACAATAACACCACATTAAGTAGCCAAATGAACAGCAACTAAGAACCAATAATATTATTACTTTAGTACTCAACTTATCAAGCACCCAAAACAATACCAAAGGCTTGCAGAAAAGTTGTTCTTTTCCCTTACCTTTGGCTGTCTGGAATATGGATACTTTACCAGGTTACTGGCTGGCTGATTGCTAGTTTTCTTGAGAGCTGGCTGGCTCCCCTCCAGGTAGACTGCTGGCAAATTTGTATTAGTCACTTTCCTCTCTGTCTCCCCTAATCCACTTCCTAAGTACTTCGGGCCCGTTTCCAATCTAATACTGTCCTCAACTTCAGGGGTTCATTTTTCACTCCAGATTTATTTTGTTTGCATAAGACAGTTTACTAATTGAGCATCAAAGTAGCATAACATCCATTACCATCCCATGGAAATACTAAAACTATAACTAAAACATCATTTCTCAGTTCTGTAGAAGGTCTGCTGTGACTGGAAAGAACATTTTTGCAAACAAGTGTTAAATATGCTGGGGTGCACTACTTAGGCTGTGAGCTTTTCTGTGTCATTAAAAGGTGTCTCACATTCACGTATTACACAGTGAGGGTATAAACCCTGAAATCACACAGTTTAGCTTTTGAACTAGAAGACAATGCTTACTATTCTAAACATGCAACTTGATGCTTGCATAATAATACATCCTTCTCAATCACTTGTTCCAATATGTTCTAGATCCCCAACATCTCCACATAAGAGCAAAAGAAAAGCAACAGGACTGTTAACAAATGTTATCAAAGTAGTACACATAATCTCTTTCCATTCATGCATACATATCTTACCTGAAGTGTTTTATCAGCTCCACATGATGCTATTCTTTGTTTATCCTTAGAAAAGCAGGCATGGTAAACTGCATCTCTATGTGGACGAACCACCAGACGGTAGAGGTTTTTCAAGGATTTTTTATTTCTACAGGGTAAGACAGTTGATTTTAGATGACTAGGATTTCCTAGTGCCTTTTTATTGTTCAAAATCCTCTATAAAAAGGTAACACTTTTTCACACAGCTTGAGCAGCAAGCTCTGTAACAAACAACCCAACCAACCCACTATACCCTACCTCTCAGCCTTTATGCTGAAAAAATAAGGGAAACACAAATTCCAGCATTCACTCAGAGTTTTTACTGCCCTCCGTTATTACAGCTTAGAGATCGAGAAACATAGTGAGCACACAAAAAATTAACATGATACTTTATGGGCAAAGCTGTTGCACAGCCTTCCTAATGACATTTTTGTGATCTGATATGCGCTATTTCCAAATATGAACTTCTTCCTGAGAATTTTTGTTCTCCTGAAGGCTCCTTTTCAAGCTTAATCAAAAACATTTGTAAATTTGTTTAGATCTCAGTAAATTTACTTGATTTTCACAGCAAGGACTCATTTTTTACCACTAGCTATTTAAATAAAATCTATGACTATCACTGCATTTCAATCAGAGATTAAGGACAGAATCTAATTCACCATAGATAGCTCTTGCCTCACTTGAACAAAACCTTAGAATTAGTAGCATTCATAATCATCCTGTTTAGCCAGATCTTAATACAGAAAGCTGTCACTGTAATAAAATGATTTGTGGTGACAAATAGATTGTTACAAGATTATTTTTTTCTAGAGTTAAAATGAATCATTGTACTTCAAGTTTTTATCATTATCAGTTTCAATCTTCGGGCTTAGCATTTAAATAATGTGTAAAACATCTCAAACAAAGCAGCTGTGCTTTAGAAGGAAAGCAATTCTTCACTGCAAAATACTGACTCATCTAAGCCAACTTTTTTTTTTCATATTCTAATAAAGCTAAAAATGCTGGTCAAGAGAGCAGTGTATTCACCTACATAACCTATAAACCATTTTTAGAACCTTGCCCTATGATGGGAGACAAAAACATCTGCCTCTGTTGTGTCGATTTCAGTCATGTTCTTCAGTTCTTTCAGGCATGTTCTTCAGTTCTTTCAGGCATGTCCCACATCCAAGGTGAAAGCCCCAAAATACCTGGAGGTTGACTCTTTGGAATTGTGCAACTTCCAAGCATTTTTCTTAGAATTTTGTATGCAAAATGAAATAGCCAAATACTCAAAAAGAAGACCCAAATTCAAGTATGCCTGTATTAACCTGTCTGGTTATTACCATAATTACCTGACATAGAATCAGTCTGGTTTTTAACCACCAAGTACCACAGATAATCAGAACAGAAACATCAAACAGGAATCTAAGAGGGACAGTTACACGGTCAGATGACTACTGGACTATGCTGGAAAAATGTTTAGATATGTATATCTTTTCCTTAAACAACTTCCAAAAATACAAAAACAGCACAAAATTATTTAAATAGGAGAAATTTCAAGACTGGGTAGAGATTACAAAGCCTTTTAGTATTTTCCATCTTGCTACTTTCAAAAACTTTGCAAGTTAACACAAACACTCTCCTTTTTAAAGTGCACGTTTTAGTAGAAAACCTAAAAACATAGTGTAACATACTCAATACTTGCACAACAATTGTAACTTTTAAAAAAAAAAAAATTAGGTAAGTTTCAAAGTATCTTACTTTCGTCTTTGTATAGTTATTTAAAAGGAACAATTGAGTGCAGAAGTAAATACATTCCTCTATTTATTTCTATGTAATTATTACTAATTTGTGGCCTTATGTATCCAGAGTTCCCACCCTCCCACAAGCTCTTGAAAATTATTTCACTTTCTTTCCCCAGAAAAACAGAGCAGTTCTTAAAAAGGTCCTTATATTAGACATAAATTGGATTTAGCTGTACATTAAATTATTTTTCTTAGATCAAGGGATCAGCGTATCAGCAGATGGACTACAGCTACTTACATCCACTCCAAATAAAATGCTCCTGTTTCTCTTTGAGCATGTAGCTTGGCTTGTTGGTACACCTCTGATGTCTCTGGTTGGCAAAGACAGAGCTGTATAATGTCAGGAAACGGTTGCCGTCCAAGAAGGTGCCCATTTAAAGACAGAAATTCCTGGAAGTTCTCACGTACTGTGCTATTCTATGTACAGAGCAGACAGTATTTGATAACATAGTAAGTGGATTTGTTTCCTAAGTGCCCTTTGCTTTTTTAAATTTTCTATACACCTGATATTCTTACAGAAGTACTTAGGTCTATTTTTCTACTTAGTTCTATTAGCAAGTACATATGATAGACTGAAATACTTATTTAGTATTTCAGTATAAGTATACTTATTTATAGAACTATTTAGGAAAGCGTATTATCCTTATTTTTCAAATAAAGGGTATCGGCAACAGTGATTTACTCAATAAGAAGTCAGTGTGAAATATCAGAATGACTGTTCCAAGCTGCCAACAAAATTCTACTCCTCCTCAAAAGCAGAGTACCACATGTACCCACCATTAGTTGTTGTTCACCTTAGTTAATTGAGTTCCATGGCCAATTACTTGGGTGCACACTGAAGTTACAACTAAAACTGAAAAATAAGTTTTCTTTATTTTTCTCTTCTCCAAGCTAAACTTAGCACTGCTTTTATGTTTCAGTTTTTTAAGATTTCTGTCTCTCTTTCTCACATATGCATACATCCAAGAAAATGCAATTAAACACGGAAAAATATATTTGCAACTGACTGATCATTTACCTTTTAGAATCATACCTTTTGATCCAGGATTGAGCTATATTCTACATATTCATGAATCAGATGAGCAGGCCCTACCAATTCTGTTTTAGCTTTAATCCAATCTAGAGAAAACATAAGCTCATGGAGTTCCTACAAGAAACACAAATATAAATCAGAGCAGGAGTTCCACAACAGAATCTACTTAAAGGGAAAAATAAAAGTACACGAAATACATTAGGTATTTAATATGCTTTGGTACAATCGTGTCCAGTTAAAAAAAAATTAGGCAATTTCCTGTTTCCTGCATCTTACTCGACCAGGTATGAAAATTCTGGGTATAGAAGACTAAGCTTGTCGTTCTAATGCAAAGGACTGCTCTTTGATAGAGCTAGTCAAGGAAGGTATAGGGGGTACAAAGCAAATCTTGACTTTTGTAGCACACAAGACCTGGTTGAAAATACAACTCTGAAAAAGCTTCTTCTGGTCTAGTCTGGCAAAGATCACTCCACTAGTAGTGATCTGTTGTTCTTCCTAACAGATGCTGATTTTGAACGAAAGCAAAAAATCTGTTACAGTTGCATTTCACTTAAAAATGAGAAAGCTACTTAAAAGGCAATCAGAAGCTGCAAATAGAATTATGAGAACAGAATACACTATTTCAGTTGGAAGGGACCTATAATGATCATCTAGTCCAACTGCCTGACCACTTCAGTGCTGACCAAAAGCTAAAGCACATTAAGGGCATTTTCCAAATGCCTCAAACACTGACAGGCTTGGGGCATTGAGCACCTCTGCAGGAAGCCCGCTACTGTGTTTGACCACCCTCTCAGTAAAGAAATACTTCCCAATATCAAGTCTGAACCTCCCCTGGCACAGCTTTGAACCATTCCCACATGTCCTATCACTGCATACCAGGGAGAAGAGCACAGCACCTCCCTCTCCACTTCCCCTCCTCAGGAAGCTGCAGAGAGCAATGAGGTCACCCCTCAACCTCCTTCTCTCCAAACTAGACAAACCCAAAGTCCTTAGCCACATCTCACAGCACATGCCTTCCAGCCCTGTCACCAGCTTTGTGGCCCTCCTCTGGACGCGCTCAAGGACCTTCATTTCCTTCTGAAATTGTGGGCCCCAGCACTGCACACAGCACTCCAGGGGAGGCCACACCAACGCTGAGTACAGCAGGATGATCATCTCGCTTGCCCTGCTGGCTCGGGTGTGTTTGATGCACCCCAGGATGGGGTTTGCCCTTTCGGCTACCAGGGCACGTTGCTGGTTCATAAGGAGCCTGCTGTCAGTCAGCACCTCCAGATCCCTTTCTGCGGGGCTATTCTGCAGCCACTCCTCTCCCAAGTTATACTTGTGCCTGGTGTTACTCCATCCTGCAGGATCCAGCATTTGGACTTGTTAAATTTCATCCCATTAACCATTGCCCAGTGCTCTAATCTACCTAGATCCCTCTGCAAGGCCTCTTGTCCCTCAAGAGAGTCAACAGCACCTCCCAGTTTGGTATCATCATCAGACTTGCCAATGGTGCATTCAACTCCTGTATCCAGATCGTAGATAAATACATTGAATAGAACTGGCCCTAGAATTGAGCCCTGCAGAACACTGCTGGTGACCAGTCACCAATCAGTTGTAGCCCAGTTTGCTACAACCCTTTGAGCCCTGCCCTTCAGCCAGTTCTTCACCCAGTGCACCGTGAACCTACTCATCCCACAGTTGGACAGCTTGTCCAGAAGGGTGCTGTGAGGGACAGTATCAAAAGCCTTACCGAAGTCCAGAAAAACTACATCCACCACCTTCCCTTTATCCACTAGGCAGGTGACCTTATCATAGAAGGATATCAAATCAGTTAAACACGACTTTCCCTTTGTGAATCCATGTTGACTGTGCCTGATGCCTGATGATTGCATTTTCCTGAAATGCCTGTCAGTAGTACCCAGTATAATCTTGTCCATAATTTTTCCAAGAACTGAGGTTAGACTAACAGGTCTGTACTTCCCTGGATCTACCCTCATGCCCTTCTTGTAGACGGGAATAACACTGGCTGTCTTCCAGTCAGCAGGGACCTTCCCAGACTCCCAAGGTAGGTGATTGAGAGGGGTCCTGCCAGAACACCTGCTAGCTCCTTCAGTACTCTGGGATCAATCTCATCAGGTCCCATGGACTTGTGAACATTCAGCTGGTCCATTACAGTTTCAGTGTCTGCAAATGGAAAGTCGCTGTTCCCACACTCATGGTCCTCCAATACAGGGGAACAGGCAGCCCTAGGTGTGTCAGTATTATTAAAGACTGAGGCGAGAAAAGCATAGAATACCTCTGCTTTTTCTTCATCCCTATTAGTCAAGATGGCCACCTTCAACAAATATCAATCCAATGTTTTCTTTAGACCTCCTCTTGTTATTAATGTACTTTAAAAAGCCCTTCTTTTTAAAAAAACTACTTGCTAGGATCAGAAAAACTGCTTAGAGACAACACTGCATAGGCTCAAAGTATATTGCAATTTAAAATCAGCAAATACTGCAAGGATTAAAATATTATCATGGTTAAACAAAAAAAAAGAATACCTCCCATCTTTATTAGCCTTCCAAAAAAATAGAGATCATGGCTAAATAATGAGAAATAAGTAATATAAAGAGCGTAAACTTGGGGAAGCATACAGTCGTAACGAGACAGGCTAATGAACTCCAAGAAGCTAATTCTACAAAATGTAGAAAGGCTAATAATAAAAACATTCTCCCAATATATTGAATTTAAAGAGACTGAGATAATGAAAGAAGTATGATCCAAAAAACCTAGATTTGCAGCCCACATTAATTATGAAGGTTCCTATAAGATATAGGTACACAAAGTGTATTTTATATGAGTCAGATGGACCATCTCAAAAGAGGTTCAACTGAAAAGGTTTGAGTACATGTGAAATAAAGCAGTTAGCAGCCAGGACCAAACGCTATTCAAGGCAAGAATTCTAAAGACATTAAAGTGAAACTGCTGAAGTATTAATCTTGCTGCATGATCTGCATCTTATACTAGCTCAGTACTCAAAGAACAGTAGATAGCAAAAATTACAGCCATTTTTTTAAAGGTGCCAAGGCAAACCTGGGAACAATAGTTCTGCCCATCTAACTCTTGCTAGATTTTTTTATGGCTATTGAAACCCAGAGAATGAACTTTTACACATAAATCAGTATAACACAAGAGGAAAAAACTAACAAGACTTCTGTAGAAAAAAGTAACTATTCCAATTGAATTCTCTGAAGAAATCAATTTACTTATATTATCATACAATAAAGCGAGCATGGGTTTTCAAAAAAGTTTACAGAAGATTTCTTATCAAAGTTCCTTCAGAAAGAAAAGAAAACCACAAGCTGTTATGATACAAAATAAGAAATATTCTCAAGAACTGATTGAAAAGACAAGAGATAAAGGGAAGAAATAAAGTAGTTTTCATAACCGACAGCAATTACCTGTGTAGTCCCTAAAGGACTCTATGTTCAGTGTTTACCTATCTGCACAAAAGCCTGGGAGAAGAGAGGTTCAAGTGGGAAAAAACCTGGGGTGAAAGGCAGGGGTAAGGGTGGGCTGAGAAGGGAAACAGGACACTAGTCAGAACTCACCTTCTGCATGTTGGCACCAGCCATGTGATATGCTAGAAAGTTATACCAGTACATGCAATCCTCTTCAGATGGAACAGGCGTATTAAGTTTGTAATACTTCTTGTACTGATTTACTATGTTTTTATGTAGCTCCTGCAATGTGAATCAAAACACACTTTCAGCTAATACTATACCAAGGTATGGACTGGTTTCAGTATTGAGGAATTATAATTATTAATATTATATTGTATATAGTATTGAGGAATAATAATAATAATAACAATAATAATAATAATAGTAATAATTCTCGATTATATCCCAACAAATGAAATAAGAAAGCTTACCTTCCAAAACTGTACACTTAACCTAATTTATTGCTTAAGACTTTTCCAGAAACATTCTCTGGATATTAAAAGACAGAAAAGCAAGCTGTTAATCTTCCTTCTTAGGTTGAGAACAGCTATCAAATCACTCTTCACATTGAATGTGGGTAGCCAACCAAAAAAGAGCCTTACATATGTAGATCTAAAGCAAGTCTAAAAACTTGCCTTTTTTTCAGATCTACTCTTTCTGCCCGGTCCTTCAGAACTGATGTGTTTATTGGGCCCAACTTATAGGTCTTCTCCTTGCAAGTTTTGCTTTAAATTGAAAAAAAAAGAGTAAAAAGCACTGCTCTGTCTTAAAGAAGAAACTTCCTATTTTGGTAGGAACCGGATACCTTTGGAATCATCAGTGGAACATTCCATCTCCTGCTAGAAACATCTCTGACAGAGAAATAATGGACACAGAGTCTTCTCTCAATTTAGTTTCTTAGCTCCAAAAGGAACCATCATGAAATCACTCCACAGTTTCAAGTTGAAAATAAATGTTTTTAATTACTTAGCATTAAGTCTAACTGCACTGTGGACCTATTCCATGAAGCTACTCTGGATACTATTTATCAGAGGAGTATTTTCTGAAGAATGTGCAGCTTTGGAGAGTAAAGTTAAAAGTAATTAGTCAATACCCTACCTGAAGCTTGTTGCGATTCTTCTCTGTAAGAAAGTCAAGTTGAAGGTCATGTAAATAATAATGGAACGACTTCCCATTACGATCACAGGACAATAGTGATTTGTTAACAAATTCCTGTAGTATATCTTCAACTTCTTCAGTTTCCATATCCCAAAGAATACAGAGAACCTAAAAAAGCACATTAAGACAGAAAAGAATCAGAACTAGGGTGTAGTATGACTTGTATGAATATCATAAAAGGCTACCAATTAACTGACAACAAAACACCCGCTAACAAATATAGACATATTACAAATGGTAATAAATTCAGTAAGTTACCAATTCTTCCATACCACATTATAGGACAGATAATACAAGTTATCCCATCTTTTGTCTACTTGTGCTGATTTATGGTGATCATATCTTTTTCTTAAAGGAGACAAATTTCACGTAACAATTTTTAAGCCTTCGGAGAGCTCAATTATAATCTAGTTAAAGAATTATATACAGAATGCACATTAAACTAACATTATGAACACATTTATTCAGTTACAGTTTTTAGTTTCACTACTGCCAATAAAAGTCATGATACAATAATGGACCCGACCTACCCCATCTAGAAATTACTATTAAGTTACATACAACATAAGTTATACACAACAATTACAAATTTTATGAATTCTTTGAAGTTATTGTTTGTATCTCACTAAAAATGATGAGTTTTTTGCATTGCTGTTATTACCTTAGTAGGTACTTTAACATCTTTTGGGAGAATAGAGAGGTCTTTATAGTAGTCTTTATAATTGTCATTCAGTTGCTCAACACTTATGGACATTGCTTCATCAAGGGCTTCATAATCATAAGAAGAAGATTTTCTTATTCTTTTAAACTGTTTTTTCTGCAGCTGTTCAAGATAGTATTCCCAACGACCAGGGAAGTCTCGTAATAATGCACCTATCAAGGATATCACAAGAGGAGAACCTAAAGGAAAAGATTAAATTTATCTTAGAGGTTTTCAAGGAACACAATTCAACAGTCAGTCAAGTGGTTGAACAGATCAGGTAATTTTCCCAATACATTTATTAAATTCTTGAGGTGTGAAGAACAGACAAACAAAACATGACATACCCTTAGACATCTGCAAACTCACCAAATTTAAGTGTAATAGGGGTGAAGATACACTGGAGAAAACTACTCAAAAATCAACATGAGACATTTCTATTTAGTTTAAGAAAAAACAAAAAGCATTTAACAACACTTGTGTTTTACTTAGGGTATACAGCATTAAAGGATGTTCCCTCCTCTTTCTAGGTCAAAACTCCGAAGAAAAAAAAATACATTTGGTGGTAAATGGTATTAAAGAGTGGCAAGAATACCTTTGCATTCCCTTACAAGGCAGTTAGCTTGTTCTGGCAGTTCTGATATTTTCATATTCACAAATAGGGATAAAATCTCCAGTCCTTTCTCATGTGCTAGTCCACTTTCCACATGAACCTCATATTTATTGCCTAGACATAGAAACATGGAAAAAATGTAAAGGAATGTAAAAAATCCAATGGTAATTAAGAGTATTTTCCAAGCAAAATCAGGAGCAAAGTACCTGGCTCATGATTTTATAAGTAGTATTTTATATGCTTGGTACTGAGGATAAATTCAGAATCAAGTCTGCATCAGAGAGACAAAAGATTAGACTATAATCTAATGCATTATGGGCATGTCATAGCAGTGACTGCTTAACAGCACAGAGATAATCAGTCTAGCAGCAGCAGTGTCACACAGGTTAATTTATCCTGTTGAGAATCATTGCACTCTTCAATATAGACAGGTAACTTTCAGGATAACACATCATACCTATTTCACAAAGAGCATAAAGTCTTACAGAGCAGAATTCTAAAACTTTGCCACTTGTGTACAAGTTAATAGACAGAGATCCTATCAGATTATTTTAAAAGTTCACAGGAACAAATTGCATGCATATACACACACAGTCTGTGGTGCAGGAGAGGAAACTGTTCCTTACCAGCCACAGCATCTGTTACGCTCCTGTCCCTGCTGGTGACAAGAACCTGACACTGATTATCAAATGCTTTTAATACCCAGGAATCCCAAATGTCATCCAGGATCAAAAGAGATCTAGTGCAAGAAGAAATATTGCAGATTTCAGATCAACTATTAGTGCTAAAATACAGTATTTCACTTTAATAATGAAAGGACATTTTCAGAATTTACAATGTATCACTGAATAATCTTTTATACTAATATGTAAAATACCTTAAGAGTGCATTAAACACTGTGCAAGAAAGCTGAATGCAAGTATCGCCAAAAAAAAAGTTTTTACCATTTATTGCTTTATAGCTACAATTGAAGTGTAAACAATACAGTTTTGAGAAAAAAACTCCATTAGTAGATGCCAGGAAAAACAGAAATATTTACTCTGGTTTTCATGTTATCAGATACCATAAATGAAGATGAAAGTTGCATAGGACTAGATTAACAACTCTGCTTTGACACAGGCTAGTGATAAGCATTGTGGGAGAAACCATTTCAGTCTCCTTTTGACTCAAGACTTTTCAGTTTTGTTCTTGTATCTTCAGAAAGCTCTATGAAACTAATCCTCTTGTGAAAGAATTGTATTGGATGATGAGGCTCTTTTTACATAAACAACATTTTATAGTGACTACATATTCACATCGTATGGCTAGTCATATTTGCAGATTACTACATGGAATCTCAACAGAATAATGTATAGTAGACTTCCCTACCCCTGCCTATATCTGACAAAGAAGTTACTCAAAACTATTTATAAAAGGTTGGTTCCAAGTGAGCAAGAAGTCAAAAAGACTGGCTAGCAAGCAGGTTTATGAAAAGCAATACCAGTTGTTTCATTCTGTATGTTTTGCGGAGGAAAGACAGTTATTGAAACCCAATCCTGTAAAATGTTTAAATTTACTGCCTTTTTCTTTTTAAAGGGAAAAGCAACAAGAGTTTTCAGCTACACTAATCACTGGCTAAATTGTCCAATTCCCACTGAAGCATGCCAAGACTTCCACGTTTTTCTTCAGCTAAATGACACTCATGCCATCAATGCCTATAAATAAGGATTTTATCCTTCATAAACAAGTGCATACACATTATACCACATTTTCAAAGTTGCATATAAGTATTGGATACCCATATTTCATTTCTATACAATTCCTCTATTTAACACCCTTTTGATAAATAAAAGGGTTTACAATAATACTATCATAGCCATAAGTGACTAATTTTGTTGTACTTCCACACTTGAAAATATGTTGGACAACATGAATTACAGCCTGATTTCATGTTTTTAATTAAATCTGAGAACTTCAAAGTCCTCCAAATCTTTTGGCACCAATGACTTTCTTCCCCAACCACACCAACAAACCTTAAATCCTAATTAGGTTAATAATAAAAAAAAAAAAACAACCAAAAAAAATAACAACCAACCCCAAAATACTGCGATAACAATTACAGGAGATTTAAATCTGAAATTTCTTACTTTAAAGAATATCATAGCTTCCATTTCTTCAACCATAATCTAACAAAATACATAACGCTATTTTGCTTTGCAAGTTTTCATTTGACTAATATTTTAATCCCCAAGAAATGCACTGGATTCACAATTTGAATATTTTGACTAATACTTTATTCCCAAGAAATGTATCAGGTTGACTATTTGAATCCAGAAATAGATTAAGTGACTTTTTGTCACCAAAGAGAATTCCAGTGCAGAGCAAGCTCCACAAGCTATAGAACTAGTGAAGCTTGGTTTCCAATACACTTGCATCATATGAACCTCACTCTCCAGTACATTCCCCCCTACCTCCTCCTCCCATGCCCACTACAATTTCCCAGATAACCCATCATCAGCAAGACTTTCAGTTTGTTCTTATAATGTTCTCACATATAGCTAACTGGGCAGGGTGCAGCACAGGCTGTAGCCTGTTCCCAGCCCAGGTATCCAAGCTGGCCAATTAGCAAGAGAACAAAATACATTTCCCCTCAATTCATTCTGTATACTCCTTTTCACCACTGAAGGCACCTACTTGGATTTCCCTTTATCCAACTGTCAATTTCCTTAAACTTACAGAATTTTCAAAGATAAAAAGTTCCTACCTTCAGAGTCAATTTTGGCAATATGCTCAAAGGATAGCGGAGGAGAAGGGAAAGGATAAACAGAACTGAGATGAACAGTGTGATCACATTAACATGGTTTTGAAATGGCAAAAAGAAGTCAGACTAGAAAAGTTTTATAATCAATTCTTGTCCGTTTTCCTTGAGGTGCAGTCATTCTCTGCAATACTCCTACCTAACATCTGTTACTTTATCTTGAAACAGATTAATGAACATTGCCAGGTCAACAGCATCCTACATGAGATACCTGGCAGTCTATATAGAAGACATTGCCACAGCTGACATTGAAATGTCCTCAAATAAAACCAAGTGCCTAATTGTTTCCAAAGGTGGTATTTTCTCTTTTCCCCTTAGTTTCTTCAGTATACAGGTGCTCTTTGGATGAAGCACACCTCTTATATGATTCATTTTGTGCACTACAAACAATATAGCATAGCACAGCATATTAACCAGGTTAGGCAGTCGTGTTACTTGTCTATACAGTAGTTGCCAACTTCTGGAACAGTTCATGATGCCATAGGGATACATCTTACAAGAAAACAGCACACGGCTCTCCCTTCTACTCAGAAGGACTGCAAGGTTGTGCATGAATTAAACATCCAAATTCTTCTCTATTGAAGAATTCTCTTTTGTTTGTTAATGAACAAAAAATAACAAGAATTGTGTCAGCGGAAACAACTCCTCAACCTACCTCAGGGAAACCTGTGCTTTCAGTTGAAAGTGACTTGTTTGCACTTTTCATGTAAGACTTCCCCAATAAATCTTTCATTTTTTGTGGAGGACCTGTCAGCATTTTTCAAATCTTTTCTTTGCAAGATTCCCACCCTCCCCCCCAAAGCCCCCATACAAAAATGCCAGTATTCTTCTACTCTATGTCATCTACAAAGATCACAAGGTCTCCAACCTTTTTCCTCATTTTCCCTGAGCTATCTCACTCAGGCGCAGGCTTGTTTAGTTTAGTACAGACTTTCCCAGACAGTAATGAAATCCTCAACACATAAAAAAACTATTGCTCAAAGATGAAAAAAGCTGTGCAGTGACTGAGATGCTGCTTGATTAAATCAAGTCCCTCTTCCTGAAGTCTGAAAGCAACTGGTTTCCTGGTGATAACTGATCATATAATGAAAACCTGCTTTCACTTTTGTAATTCAAGACCAAACACTTTAAAAAGACATCAGTTGTTCCAGAAAGAAAAAATTTTCTGCAGTGATACACATCTTTTTACCGCTGTATGATCCTCACACTTCAGTGAAGCATTCTACATGCATGAGAACACTGAAAGTTAGAGCAATTTTTGTTTCCAGCAACTCATTCCCAACCTTCATTATTCAACAACTAGTAACTTTTCAAGCACATGTGACTCCTGCACAGCTAGTTAACATATTCTGTTAGCAGAAGCCTTATTAGCCTATTAAATATATTCATATCCAGAACAAGCCTACAATGTGTCCCTTAAGTTACTTCATTAAAAAAACCCCATCTAAACAGGGTCAGAGTTATATTACGTACATTATACACCTGCCTCTAGCAACTATTCAACCTTCAGCATTTGTACACTTATTTGAAGTACTTTATTCTTTTACATATGCAAGTCAGTAATTTAGAAAATCTTAACAGGAATCTCTACACAAAAATTACAATTCGAGAAGTACTGTTAGCTTGACCTTGAATAACACTTCCCAATTATCTACAGTAAAACAGAAAAAGGGAAAGCAAAAGATGGAAGAGTTAGTTGGTTTTCAGAAAAAAAAAATACACAACACAGAGACACATAACCACAACACAGACATCTTATACCATTAGACCAAAATTACTCTGTGAAGTTTTATCGCTAAAAGAACAATATTTCATTTTACTGCCATTACCTGGGGTATTTGCGTAGCATCAGCAAACGAAGACGATCTTTAGCCTCCTCAATGTTAAGTGGTGGCCTTTGTGAAAGAGTAGAGTCATGTTCTAATCTACTACAGAGATTCTGAAGTTTTATTAGGAGTCCTGCTTTGTCCTGTTTTCCAACAGAGATCCAATGAACTCCTCCTGGGAAGTAATCTAACAAGAAAAGCAATATTAATTATGCTATACATTTAAAATCAGAAATATTTAATAGCGGCTTACAATAGCAATCAATAACACAATTTCAATTAAAATATAAAGCTGTAAAGTGCAACTCTACCATTAACACAGACAGATGGTTCTACAAGACCACTATTTTTTATTTTTAAAGGAACAGGCCCTGTAGGGCAAGTTCCCACAGAGAATTCACACTGTCACTGATGCTGTCATCCCTCCCCACTACATGCCTTCCTGCCTGTCCCTCGACAACCCCTTCTGCGTCCATCTTTCTGCTAGCATTTACTTACTACTGCAGACATTCATAGTCTGGGATATGAAAATTATCCCAAAACAGTGAACAAGATGGCATCTGGAAGAGTCAGCTGCAGCAGAGCATGCTGTAGTTTCTATCCTTACATCATGTTTTCTAATGCCTGAATCCCACTTTCACCACCAAGTGTCCAAAGCGGGGGATGGGGAGGATCATTAAATGGTTTAATTTATGATATGCTTTAAGCTAAAGTGCCCACAAATGCCCACCATTATTAAAATATATGCAAAAGTTAGAGCAAAATTTTTTAAACTCACATAGCAAGGGGAAGAGTTGGAGGACTTAACAAGAAACGCCCAAAAGCAATATAAACTAAATATGATTATTTTGCACTTACAGAAATAACAATTTCAAGTTAATTAAAAGATGCATCTAGTGTCATAAACCAAAGCAGATTCCAAGGTGAGAAGCTATTCAGAATCTTTTCCCATAAACTAGTAAAAAACGTAGTGGTCCTAGAGCACTAAATGGTTATGAAAACAGTAAGTTGCAAGTCAATATTTTCAGAAGTACCTAAGGAATTTAGAAACCTAAATCCTAAATTACTTTCAAGATGACATAAGATACTTTGCCATATATGCCTAATATGTGTATACCAGTAGTAATTTTTATAGAAATATAGATGTTCTTCCAAAAGTACCTTCCAAAAGCTGATGATCCCTTAAAGCTTCTGCTGTTAAAACAGTCTTCCCACAACCCGCCATTCCATGAACTGTGACCCAGCCTGGATCACTTCCCAAGCAGCACAGTTTCTGTTTAATAGCATCTACCAGTTTTGGCCGAGTGACAAACACAACCGGTCTCTGTGGTACACCTCCTTCGCAAAGTACTGTCTTAACTAAAGTTAAAAACAAGAAACATGAAAATAAAAAGTAATTTCTAAATGTCATGCCTCTTCAAGCCAAACCAAACAAGCAGTGGGCCCCCCTCCCAAACTTGTGTCCCATACAAATGTTCTAAAAACTACTCGCAACACCAAATACTGAAAAAAATACTGCTTTTTGGAAATAAGTTACTTAACAAGTAACTAACTTGCCACCTAAAATAGTGGTGTCCCAATTAATAACTACATTTTCTGCAAGCTAGTTACATCAATCCCTAGAAGTGAAAAGATAATTAACAGCTCCAGTAGGAACAGTGGCAAACGCACACAGAAGCCGAACATTACTATACCCAACTGTCAAGTCGCTTTCTCAGCCAGAAGTTACTGCCCCCATGGATGCAGCAGAAAAGAAAGCTTACTGTGTAAGGCTTTTACTTTGCAGCTAAAAGCACTGCATTGTGGTCCAAACAAGACTTCCTTTGATTTGAGCTAAGATAGCATGACTTGCAATAGAGCAGGTAAAGCATAGCAAGAAAGAAAATGTGCACTTTATCTGTTCACTGCTGGCCACCAAGTGGGCATATCCAGTGCCATATTATACAGATAAGCTCTGGGAAATCTTCCTCAAGTAATCAAAATTCTACGTGTCTGTGGCACTTCTTAAAATGTACAGCGACAGCAAATATGTCATTTAGTCATATGCAGCTATAAAGTTCTTTCCATTAGAAACTACCGATTTCTTTCACATCAAAGATGATATTGATGACAATGTAGGTAAAAGTTAGGAACTTACGTAGGGTAACTAAAAGATCTGGTGGAGAGAATTAAGCAACCTAATAACTAGATCAACTATTGGAACGTAGGCTGAGAGATTACAGATTACTAGTCCAGAAAAATGTCACAATTTTGGAGGCTACAACTTTTAATGTTAGATTCATCTTTAATATATATGAATAAGAGTCAGTCTTTCACATACAACAAAAACATTACAGTTTAGAGAAATCTGTGAGCGCTTCAGGTTTCCCACCTTTTAAAACAAACATTAATAAATATGAACATTTTCGAGATGACCTATAAAAGTCATACTTGTTGTCAACTCTCCTGCCATATTAAATACAAGAAATACAGAAATACTGACTACTACTCTACCAAAACAAGTGAATGCACTTGAATGCACCACCCCTTTTTCATTAGAACAGGTATTACAGACAGTCACTTAGTAAGGAATAAAAAAATACAACTTGTCTTTACTTTCAAGCACAGGCATTGCTGCAGTTATACTGACCGTATGAAGTCATTCCATCCGTGGAACTCTTTCTATTACCAGAGGAGATGGCAGGGATGCCATCCTGAAGAAGCGCAGCAAGATCTCTGTACCCTTCATGAAGTAGCGCATTATAAAAGGATCTATATGAATTATTATCTTTTCTAAGAATAATGTTTATTAGCATAGCTGCTCGCTCCTTCTGTGTGCTCTAGAAAAAACATTAAAAGAGATGTTATAAAAAAACTACTTAGAAATCATCTAATCTATCACTCTGTCAATTATAGACTGCATTTATAGCCTTCAGCTATGAAATAGCCTTCAACTTGACTCAACCTTATGAAGTGTGGTAAAAACTGCATGCTAGGCATATGCTGAAGAATTTGCTCAATCCAGACTAGGAAGATAAAAAACAGTGAGAGACAATTCTACCTGTTGTTTCACTTTCTCCTCCTCCTGTAATGTCAGTACTTCGTCCGAAATCATACGATCCATAATATAAGAGGTCTTGATGTCTTTTTCCAATGCTTGGCGGTGCATAAGTAAATGATTTCTGCTCTTCACATCCATATTTCTTCAGTGTTCAAAAAAGAAAAGTCAAGGCATGATCAGAATACAACTTACAAGGAAGAGAGTTGTAAAATAGCTGATTAAATTTGGTTTTAAGGTCAGAAAAAGTAGCAGAGCAGCTGCATTAGTGAAAAATACAGTGAAGTTTCAGGCAAGTGCATGCTATGAACTGCAAAAAGCTAAAAAATTTAGGTTTGTTTTTTTTTTTTTTACTTTCTGTCTTGATAAAGAGATTTTCATACTAATGTCATATGAATTTACTTACACTTTTTATGACCCACTAGTCCAGTACAGTATCATCAAGAAAACACTGGAAAAATCTAGCATCATTCCTTTAGAACCAAGTAAAAAAAGGCATTTTAATAGTTAAGTTGCTATTCATATTCTCTGTAGCTTGTGAACTATTACATTCTTGAAATATTATTTAGATGCCATGCACTGTTATGCTTAATAAAAACATCCAGCTGAGCATTGTTACAGTTAATCTGACTACAGCATTTCTCTGACTGCTCCACTCGGAGGCACATAAAACAGGTATAAAAAGAATTTCAATCTTTAACAACTAATTAGACTCATAGCAAAACTCTAGTGCTCACTACACGAATGGAAATTTTCATTAAAAAAGCAGATATGTACAGCTAATTTGTAGAAAAAAAAATATCTGAATCCTTTTCCACATTGCTATGAATTTATACTTATTAACATTTGCAGAACTAAAGAATCACAGTCTGTGCAAGCTTCTTATATACTAGGAACTTGCTAAGTGTCTCTACGAAGAGTCTTCTCCCACTACATCCCTCAAGTTTTTTTAAATCCTTGGATCATTTGATTGAGACAACAGGATGAGAAAGAGGAGTGGTCTTGCGGCTGACAGCACTGGACAGAATTACAACAGAAAATAAGCTCCCTGCGTACCACATCCATGAAATAAACTCAGTTTTGTCTTCGACTCCAGGACTCCATACAAGTACTTGGACCTCAACAGACGATGGAAGATGGAGCACCAAACACAGCCAATGGCCGGGCAATACCTTACCATCATCTGATACACAACTATACATTCACATTCTTCCTCTATATCATAAAAACGCCTGAAGACAATATAGAGTGAAAAACCGTTGCCTACCACGCGTAGGTTTTTCAGTACTGCCCAGCTGCCCCCGAGAGTCACCAACGACCCAAACGCTCCCTCGGATCACGCTCCTGCGAAGGCGCCGTGGGCAGGGGCGAGCTCCTCCACGCAGCGACGCCGCAGCTGCCCGCAGAAGCGGCCACCTCCGCCTTCCCCCCCC